GGAGCGGGCGGCAGCTGCGCCCCCACAGCGGCACCTCTCCCGCCTGAGTCGTGAGGGGAAGGCCCCGCAGGGCGGCGGCGCCATGGCGCGGAGCGGGACGGGGCCCGCCCGCGGCCGTGCTCCCTCGGCTCTGGCACTCCTGGTTTACTTTGCCCGAAGTCCTCAGTCTGTGACATAGGGCTCCGCCGGCACCCACACAAAATACCGAGATTGCTCAATATTCGCCAAACATGCGGGGAAAGGTGGCGTAACGGGGGCGGACACCCCCAGCGTTAGCCGTCCCGGCCTGCCCTTCCCAAGCTGGTGGCGTTACCTCCGCACGGGGCCCAGTAGCTTGGCCTTCACCTGCGGCGTGACTTGGCTGGGGCTGACAGCCTCCCCTTGTCCCCCGGAGCTACTGCCAAGGTGTGCTGCATAGAACTGTTTTTGTGTGTTACAGAAACAATGGAAAACCTAAAATTGTCTCTTGCCCCTATTCTGAGCCATATTCTTCTCCACTTAATTTCTTTGAATTTTGGGCAGGTACTCATCTCAAAATGCTTACTTAATTCTTTCTACAAAGGAGTTTTCTCTTAGAATGTCCAATGAGCATTTGATAACAGTTTTGATAAAAAATTGCACTAAAATTAGGGAACCTGTCCTTCACTTTCAAAATCAATGTGTTTTTTGCAGAATTCATGTTGATACCTGTTTACTGAACTTCAGTCCCAGGGCAGCTGCCTTCGGTGTGTTCGTGGTGGCCTGCGCCAAGAAGCCATGCAGCAGCACTTGGCATTGATCTCCATATGGTTGTAGGTCTCCAGAGGGAGAAGGGAGAAGGGAGACAAAATTCACTCTGCTGGTGGGCCTTGCCATTTGCTTTTCTTCTGGATAAAAAAAAATATGGATTAACTTGAACTTGCTGCAGTGGAGCATTGTGTTAAACACGTTAGTACTTTGGCAAGTAGTGTAATTGGCCAGATCTTCCTCTGATGTAACTCTGTATAATTGCACTGAAGTCTGTAACCCTCACTTGGCATAATGAGAAATGGCTCCCTTGTGGGAAATTATGTCCTGGTGATACTGTCTCTTTAAAAAAACAACTCAAACCACAAAACATACTTAAATATTCTTTGGAAGCATGAACTAGATGACCTCCTGAGGTCCCTTCTAACCTGAATTATTCTGTGTTTCTATGCTGCTGCTGTTCGTTCATACAGTATTTTGCAGGATGGAGTCCCGGTTCCTAACTGAAGCCCCATTGTGCAGGGCAGCGATACAGCCTGCTGAGTTGGGGGGGGTGGAAGTGGAGTGATACACAGCCACAAGATCAAGCGGTGTGTTATCTCATAGGGTGTGTTACTGTCAGCCTGGATTACTGAAACAGCTTCAGCTCTCTTTTCCTCTCTGTGGCAACCCCAAATCTGCCTGAGCACTACTATCACGCTACAGATTACATGAAAATAGGCACTGTAAACTGTGAAGGCTGTCTTTCATCGTATTTAGTGCCTTTTTTTACACACATCACAAAGATTTTCATGCAACCTCTCATTTATATTCTTTAATATTTTTTATCTCAAATTACGTAACAATTTTAACTACTACTGCCATTTCTTCTCCACAGGTGGAGAAGCTGAGGCACTAATACCTTAAGACCTACATTTCCATGGTTGCTTGACTTGCAAAACAGCAGCCCACCTCTTCAAGACTTCTCCTAACAGCGTGAAATGTAATGAAACAGTGTTAGTGCATTTTGGTACTGGAATGATGACTACTCTAGAAGGTGATTACTAATTGTTTTAGGTTCCTCTTATGCGTGACTATCTGAAGTTAGCCCCCTCAGCCATCACTTATTTCTGTTTACAAGTTTTGGCAAGATACCAAGATATTGCAAGGGGGTTTGGATATGTAGCTCTCATTGTTTCCAGTCACGTAGTTAATCAGTGGAAAGGCCTGAAGGAGAACACAGGTTATTTGATCCCGTGGCCTGGTGATGGATTTTTTTTTTGACCCCACTGCTTCTACATGTGGAGTTTGATTCTGTGCCACTGAAGTCAATGAAAATGTAACTGACTTTGGTGGGAGCAAAATATCAGGCTGCTAACAGTGAGCTGTGACAGAGCGGTGCCGTAGTTCTAGCAAGAGAGCAATGCAGCATTACTAACATGATGTATAAAGAACTGTTCTTCTACAGCAGCTTTAATTTTGACATCAGCTTGTCCTGAAGCTGATCCATGTAGCTCAGTCAAGAGCAATTACATGGTATGCTCACTTGATGAAGGCTCTGGTGCCCACCAGTGTGGTATGCAGTGCTGTGCCAAGTCCTTAGGCGGCAGCAGCAGAAGCATGGCCATGTGGAGCACCTGGGAAGTGATGGCTGAGAGCCTGTTTGCCCAAGTGCAAAGCCTCCCTGGTGTCGTACTTGAAAATGTGATTAATGAAAGAGTTTGTGATGCCTGCAGTTTCAGAAGAGAGCCAGTGTGGGGTGGACCTGCTCCAACATTTGCATACATAGATGGAGTAGCTCTGCTTCCTGCTCTTGCTGTGATTCTTGTCATCTTTCTTCTGGATCTTACTCTTTTGGGCCCTTTTCTGGGGCTGGAGCAGGCATGGCTGTCTCTGGTTTTTGCATATTGCTCTGTTTCTGACAAACAGAAGAAGTGACTTAGGATTCCTGCTGATACAAATCTCAATCTCATAGGTTACTCCGAACATTTTGGTTGGTTCCTGTGAAGCTGACACCCTGATGTTTCTTTGATTCATCACTTATTTCCTCTCTCTTAAATGTTGCTGAACTGACTAATGTCCTTTTATTATTCCTCGCTAGCTGTCAAGAAGAAGCAAAATTATGCTAGTGTACATGAGGCAGTGAAAGCTGGTGATGTAGAACAGCTTGCGTCAATGATAAAAAGTGGAGCCGGTATTAATGAGGTGGATTTAGTCCACAAATTGACACCGCTGCACTGTGCTGCACACTCTGGAAGTCTGGAGGTAAAACATTATGTTAGTGTTCAGACACAGCAAGGTTTTTGTAGGTTAGTGTTTTCCTTCTTTGAGAGAGGCTGGACACAAAATTGATAGCTTTGATTAAGCTAAATCAATAATCTCTGCCTGTTTTTCTCATTAAATATATTCACCAAGAGCAGAAGTACAGGGTTTTACTTTTTCATTTTGCCTTTCTGAAGCCCCAGGCGGTTTATATAGTCAACGTTGCCAGATTTTACAAAATCTGTGATTGTCTTACTCTGAGCAAAGTGTACCCCATGGTCTCCCTTCCAGACTCATGATCTTCTTTTGTCCCTATTGGTTTTTTCCCTTCTCTTGGGACACCTAGAAAATCCTGTAAGATGTGTAAAATGTTCTGCAGGTGATTGAAACGGGAGAAGTGACATGAAAACATGTTCATTCTGTTTACCAGTGTCCTGTCCCACGCCTCATTCTCTATAGAAGTAGTCCTAATACATCTTATTTTAATAAATAAAACCGTTGAATATTGATGGAGGAATCAGCAGGTGCATGAATGTTTTGAACTTCCAGGAGGACTGAGCTGCTGTATTCAGCACAACATTCACCTTCTTGTTGCAGCCTCCTTGTACAATCTTTATAGCAATCTAACCTTGAAGCAACAAGGCCATGAATAACCATCTAAAAATTCATGTCCCAAAGGAAAGAATGTAAAGTTCTTGCTAAACTCAAGAAATAGTAAGTGCAGTGCTGTTACTGGAATGTACAGAAACTGTCAAGAAAATGCTGATCATCATGTTGTCAACCCTAAAACCAGATTGCTTATCCACCCTTTTCTGCCTCTATAAATTCTGCCATTTTTCATTTGACTCTCCTACTTTGCAATCAATGTATTAGACTTTATTGAATTACCTGTCATCTATTTGTCGCTAAGCTCCTTTGTGGAAACAGTGGAGGAACCAGAGCTGTAGGCTGGCCTAAAAGAAGATAATAAATCATAATAATATATAATAAAAATTTTTAACTGGTCCTCTAGCTGTTTTTGGATAGTCCATAAAGCTTTCCATTGCAAGCAATGATATCTGCTGGAAAAAGGTGAATAAGCAAAACTAAGCTGTGGAAGGATGAGAAGAGAGATGGGATTGCGTACAGCTAAGGACCCTAATAAATTAAATGAGGCTTTAACTTTGGTTCATGGTATTTTTCCTGCCAGTAATTTTAGCTGGAATTCAAGTGAGTGTGTTTGCATTGTTTTTTCCAATGCTTTTACCTCATGCCATGTGAATACTCTCACAGATTACATTTTAAATCTGGAAGAGTAAAATTAAGAAGCCATACTGTAAAATCAATGCTAGGGTCTGAATTAGTAGGTTATTTGCATTTTTTGTACCGTTGGGTTAAACCTGGAAAGTATAACTTAGCTGTAACTTCCTAATGCTCAAGTATCTGGCTCAGGCGTGCTCTGGGGTGTCATATTTCCATAATGAAGTGTTCTGATACTGTTTTGAAATGTAACATCGACTGATAAATTATAATTAAAATGTGCCTCAGATACATGATAAGAATAGTTAAATAAAAAACTTTGGTTTTGGTTGAGCAGTGCCTTCACTGGTTGCTCTGTCATGGAGCTGATACAACACACGTAACTGTCAGAGGCTGGACAGCAGCTCACCTTGCGGCTATCCGAGGTCAGGATGCTTGCATGCAGGTACGTATAAATATTCACTCTCAGGTGAAAGTAAGTAGGGCAGACCTTCAGTTTGGACAAGTTCATTATGAAGATCAGCTGAGAGAGCTCCTAATGGAGCTATGAGTATCTCATCTTGATGTCTTTACATCTGGAATCAAGTCACTCTTGTTAAAACCTGTGCACTCATTTGCGCTATCTGTGCAAACAGATTTATTTTGTGTAGTGTCATTGCCTTGCGGTCAGCCCAGAGTTATCCTGCTGATCATCTCGAGTCATCCTGCTAGGCGATGTTTGCTTTTTCAGCTGGTGAACCGAACTTCTGCTTTGCATTTCTTTTAGGCTTTGTTAATAAACGGAGCAAACGCAGAAGCTCAGGATGATCGTGGGTGCACTCCGTCACACTTAGCTGCAGCCCATGGGCAGTCTTACACCTTACAAACCGTACTGCGAAGTGGAGCGGTGAGAGACTTTTACCCACAGTTCCCTAGTGAAAAGCCAAAGTCTGTTATCTTTTTCCAAACAAAACTCTCCCTAGATTAAACTGAGATTTAGGACTGTAGATTAATTACTGTTGGTATGTTCTTGTTGGTGAATTTATTTTTAGGGTAAATTTCCATTTTTTTTACTGTAAGATACATTTGGGAAATCATCCAAAAATCTAGAGAGAATCAATAATGTGAGTAAACCACATTCCACTGAGGATGTCATTAAATGAAGATCAGGCGTTGTGGTGGTTTTGATTTTTTGCAATTGTACAAATCTGTTATAGTAAAGGAGACATAAACTTAAAAAAAATCCAGATGCATATTTAAGGAATAATGACCAATGCAGTGATAGAAGTATGTCTAAAAATACGCCTTTTATATGTGTATTATTTAAATAAAACCAAGAACCTGTGAAAAGTGCCTGTCTTGGAATGGGAACTGCATACATGGCATGAACTTTGAAAAAAGCTATTTGATTTGATTTCGGTAATTTAACACAATGAACAGCTGATTCCTATTTATAAAATTTGTCTTGTGTCTAAGATTCATAAATGAATGAATTAACCTGCTGCTTTCATTTTAGAATGTAAATATTTCAGACAGGAATGACTGGAAGCCTGTTCATTATGCTGCTTTTCATGGTCGCTTGGGGTGTTTGCAGCTTCTTGTTAGATGGGGAGCGTGTATAGATGATGTGGATAACAATGGAAACCTTCCAGGTATATCAGGATAAATCATACTTTTTTTAACCTTTGGTTTACAGTTGTTGTGTGATATGATAATTGTAGCAAATTATAAGTAATGCACACCAGCAGCATTTGCTATTTGATTCCATGCAATCAACATAGTTACTCCATTTTTATAATTATGGGGGAATTTATAAATCCAAAGTATTTAGCTGTCGGTGACAGTATCCTATTGACCTCCTGCTGCTGCTGGCAAGGATCAGAGCTCATGGGTGCTGGAATAAGGGAGCAGGCTGAGCCTGGTTGAGAGTGCTGTGTAGGTGGGCAGCATCTGATATGTGTGTGATCGAGCGCATATGCCAGTGGAGGTCACAGGAGGAGAAGGGTACGTGGAGCAGGAGGCAGTTTCAGCTGCTATATGCTCCTCTTTGAATTTGTGCCAGGCTTTAATGGCTGTGCCAGTGTGATCAGATTCTGGCACGTTCATATGTAGGTTTTTGTATCCCACTATTTCTTAACTGATTTGGTAAAATCTTTGTTCTCATTTACCTGTGATTTCTTCATCTTGACTTCTGGAATACTGGTATTCTGTATTATCTGTAATCTGTACTCTTCATAATCATGAGCATAGTCGCTTCAGCACAAAAAATGGGCCGTGTTTATTCCTTGCTCTTCATAGTTTCTCCAGCGTCTGTCTGCCTACCATGCCACTGCCTCAATATCCTCTGTAAGTTGAATGGTATTGTTCATACCCTGTGTTCTCATTGCATCCTTTCCCTTTTAGCATTTTCCTTCTTATGGTCTGTCACATTATTTGTTCCAAATAGCATATTTTTTTTCTCTATAACTTGTTCAGAGTTATCTTTTTAAATCCCTCTTAAAATCTTTTACCCTCCGTTAAGCACCACTTGCCTAGTAAACTGATATCTATGTTCTGTTTTGCAAACCTGGGCCTTGTTAAAGGATGTGAGGCTCTTGCATCCCAGCAGGACATCTGGTGTATTAGCAACAAGGGATCATGATGTTAGACACCCTGGTGGCAGCGTAGAAGGTAGCGTTATTCGCATTTGGGAACACTTCCCTGATAACAGACATTTATGGAGAGGTGGCAAATGCCAGCACAATTCTACTTAAATGCTCTCTATATACTGGTTAGTAGAAAATTGTTTTTGTTGTTATTTTGACATCTACGGAAGCTTGATCCTCCAGCCTTTGTTCTGTTTCATTTGATCATATTATCATCCAAAGGAAAGAAAATGCTTTGGAACATTGCTAGTAAAAGATTAATAAAGTGGTGTGGTGTACAGACCAGCTTTTCCTCAGCTTCTGAAACAGCGAAGTGAACTCAAATCATCTTTGCATGTTTCAGCTTCAAGATTAGCTGGACAGTGCTATCATTTTTCCTAACAGTATACTGAAAGAAATTTACTGAGGTTGTGATGCCATACACCTAAAAGTTGGCTGCACCTTTTGCATGTGTGCGTTATAGTAGAGGCTTTAATTACCTATAGCATGCTAATTTTTGGGAAGGAATGTGGCTCATTCAGTGTACAGAATGGGCTGCGCTCATTAATTCAACATTTTGTTTTCTCACTGTATTTGGTTTTTGGCCATATCCATGTTTCATTTATTGCTCAGTAGTTAACCTGTTCTAAATATAATATTAATTTAATCGTAGCGCAACATCTGAGTTTTTCACAGACGCTGTTTTTTCACTCGCCACTTTGAGAAGAGCGAATAGCATTAGCCTGATTTTGTAAAAGGCATGATGAAACACAGAGAAGTTAGGGTACCAACACCAACTACCCACTGCCTATTTCTGATGCCTGAGACAAGGTTTTTCAAAGTTCTCAGCATTAAGCTGCATATTTTGTGTTAACATCACGGTACTCTTTGGCTTTAGTCTCAACTGCAAGTGCTCAGCGTGACTGAGGCTCATACGGCACAGTTATATGTTGGGCACTAGCTACTAAGAAACACACAGGTTAAAAGCCACCTATGAAAAGTTCATTTATGTGTCTTCCACAGCATCCCACTGAAACTGTGCAAAAAGACATGGATGGAATACAACTCTCTAATCTATTTTCCCCTTGCTGCCTTTGCAGAAAACGTTGAGCTTTTCTGACCGCTTTCTGCACAGGACAGACAACTGATAAAAAAGTTTCATCCCAAAAGGTGAAGTTTTATCCCTGAGATTTTAGGTATCTGAAAGTGGATTCATAAGGGTTGAGTTAGTTTTTCACCAGCTGACTAGTAATCAGTACTTAATTTTAAGATGGTACCTCTTCTTTTCACTTCTCCCTGAGTAACTAACTCACTGAGTAAAATTAAGACAATGGGAAAAACTGCCCTGATTTCAGTGAAGTTCAGATTTTGTTGTGTTAAATTTTAGCAATCATCTGTACCTAAGTATTGTCATCTTGCCATAACACCAATATCCATCACCTTTTAGAACAATTACGCTCTGGAAAGCTGTGGATGGTTTGCAATAGAGAACTTGCATGTGCCAAAAATTAACTTAAGTGACATGGGGTTTTTTGGTCCTGGGTACATTGTTTATTAACTATGAAGATGGAGACAAACTAATCCTTTTGCCTGTAGAACATCAGCCAACTTTTACAGAACATTTTCATGGAGTGGTAACACATAATAAGCATTTATTTGGCAACCTCTTCCCATTAATGGGGCTAGAGAATACTAATAATTTCAAAATAATGAGCATGTGTTTTGTACCTCTTACTTTGTTACAGGCCCAGCACTCTAGTAGTATTAAATAATTATACCTCAGCGTAGCCTAAAGGACAGGGGAGGAAACACTTGACCCCCACAGGGAAGCAGTCACTGCCCTGGTGAGGTGGAGCTGCTCCTGCACACAGCACCTGTCTGCAACAGTTGAAGGAAAGAAATGTACGGCAGAAGTACCGTGAATAGAAGCCTCTGTCATGGGATGTACCTTCAAATACTTTACCCAGTAAAGTGAATGTCACTGTCCTCATTTTATAGGTGGGGTAACTGAGATGCAGAGGTGTGACAAAACTTGTTTGTGGTGGCACAGTAGAGGTGGGACTAAAGCAGAAATGGTCTCAACTCCTAATCAAGGACATCCCTCGCTGGCCCTCTGTAATGAGTATCCCTAAGACAGCAAAGTCAGACAGCTGCCGAGGAGTGAGATTTGTGTTCATGGGGAAGATGAGACCCCAGTGGCACACTCTCCTAGCTAGTGCTCAAAGGTCTCTCAGCAGTGCTCTGCTGTCTCCTGCAATCAGCTCTGCCAGGGAATCTTCTTTGCAGATCTTGTCTTTGACTCTTTTACCTCTTTTGCACAGAGCAGAACTGTGTCCTGGATAGGAGCTGAGCATCCCCTGTCCAGCTGAGGCTGTTCCCACTCGTTGTGCCGTGTTGGACAGCTCAAGTGCTGGTAGACAAGCTAGATCTAACTAGTGGTGAGAACACTGCTTTCTTGGTGGGCAGCAGTGCTCTGCTCTAACATACTTTGTTTTACCTTATTCTATAGCTCATCTGGCAGCAATGGAAGGACACTTGCATTGCTTTAAGTTCTTGGTCAGTAAAATGGCCAGTGTCATGCACACACTGAAAGCCAGGAATGACCAAGGAGAGACTCCAAGGGACTTGGCTGAACGGTTCTATAAAGATAATATTCTGCAATATATTGACAGTATGGAAAAAGAGGAGGAACATCCAGAGACACAGGAAGGTGAGTATGGATCAAGATACTGTTAAAATAGGCATTGTAATTCTATAGAAATGCTTGATTCTGAAAACTTGTATGAGCAGAAGTATAACATTTAAATTACCAATATAAGGAAGAGCTGTTCCTTTCAATACTTACTACACTTACTGATAGCTAAGACTGGGATTCTCAATGTGATTTTATAAATGTCTTAGGTTTACCCATTATTGAAATAAAACATGTCACACTGTGTTGCACTATGAATACCGAGTTATCCATGTCCTTAGACTCCAGTAGACATCCAGACAAGCTGTATAATTTTCGTGAGTTTTCAGATTTGCCTGCTCAGAATCTCTTACTTGCATTGAATAGCAACTTAGCCTGGAAATACCCCACTGAAATTAAGGTTACTTGCTAACCAGCAATACTACTTCAGTCAGAAGAGACAAAGGATACAAGTGTGGCAAGGTCTGCAAGGAGAACCTTCAGCAGAGCAAGGATATAAGAACTGCACCTTCACCTCTCTACTTTTTCCGGGCACTTACTGTCCTCATCTGCTAGTCTTTTGTCATTATACATATATGTATATATGTCAGTACTTCCTGTCTATAAAAAATAACTAGAAAAATCAAATTGTCTGTATGGGTAGTTTTTAAACAAGAAGTAAAATACTTTATATATTTGGTTAGACTATGAAATTCAAAATAGGCAAATGACTCCAGTTACCACCAGTAATACAACATCAACCGTAAAACAAAGGTGTACTTGTTACTTCAGGTTTATGAAATTAATTTCTTAACTGTATAAGGTGCCTGTGCCATAACCAAGACATGTTTAGTCAAGTCTATGATGAACAGTGCTAGTTATGCCGCTGCATTTTAACTGATTAAGGGTGCATTAACCTGGCTAACTACAGCTATGAAGTGCCCATGCATAAGTTTCTATGAGAGCGGGAAGCAGTGAGAGACAAATGAGCATGTTTAGTGGAATTACTGGCATCTGTTTGGAAACCTGTGCATTTCATTTTCAGTTTTAGCTTTCCCAGCCCATGGTGCTGCTTTCAAAGGGGACTTGTTAGTGCTTAGAAGATTAGTGAGAAGTCGCGTAATCAATATTAATGAGCGGGATGATAAGGGATCCACTCTCATGCACAAAGGTCAGTAATTATGATCTGTGTTTCAGCTTGTTACTGTTTGTTGCTGACTTGTTTACTTAGTTTTTCAAGTGGCTGCTCATCAGATAAAGTTCATGAAAAACAGCATCTCATTTCCTGAGGGCTCGAAAGGGTGACCCTGAAAAACATATTTTGTGATGTATGTGTGTGAAGGTATCACTTTAAAAACAAAATAACCGAGCTGCAGTCAAGAAAGAAGAGTTTATATTAAAGAGAAAACAACATCTAAACTGAAAACTAAGTAGTTTTTTTTATCAGGCGAGATGTGACTTTTAGAAACATTGGCTAGCTAGGTATAAGAATGATCTGTATTGTGGCCTGGGCCTTCATTTACTGAACTTATCAATACTGCGGAGATGCGTTATAAAAACCACAACAAAGTCATTTGGTGGTACGCTGTGAAGGAAGCTAAGCTTCTGGTATCTAACACCTTGGTATTTAGTGGAGTGCTAGCATTACAGAAAAATGGTCCTTTTGTGTTTGAGGGTTTCATAGTAATGTCTGAAAGAATAGGAGAGGAAAGAAAGAGGGAGGTATTCTTGTAATATGCTTTTAACACTATTTCCCACATTTCTTTTTGAATAAATACAAATGGTAGAATTTTTAGAAACATAATTAAGGTTCTCATTGTGAAAATTCATATGTATTTATTTTCAAAGTGTTTTCTATATTCTTTCCCACCCTCTTTTCTTGGAATGGTGCTAACCTACAATTGTTTCATCCCCAGTCTTTGCATGCAATGTTGGTGTTATGGGGAAATACTATGTCTGATTGTAATTTCATTTCCTTATCTCAGTAAGAAAACAAATATGGCAAACATCCAAAGGGGGTGCTGTCAAGAAATGGATTTATGCTTCCTTGAGAAAAACAGCTTACAGGTTTCAGCTAGAAATGCCAAATACCATCTTCCATATGTGAGACATCATTCCTGGCACCACGTGGTATGACTAGTAGCCATGCCAGATCATATGACTAGGCAAAGCTGTTGTGTTAGGCTGCAGCTGAGAAGTGTTGCCTTGAGTGTCTGGCCCAAAAAATGATGTACCTATAGTTCCAGCACAAAGCCCTGGCTTCTTTCCTTCTCCGTGAGACAGCACCACACACCACAGATTGGGGCAACCAGCTGTGTCTGATGTATGGGAGCTCAGAGTTGGAGAGAGGTGACACTGCTTTGCTGCAAATTTATGACATAAAGGCCTTACTGCAAGAGAGTGTGAGGCAGCATTATTTGTGTGTCTCATGCTTGGCGCATAAGACTGGGCAAGTTTAGTTTAACTCATGTCCGGGAAGAGTTGCCAGTAAATTACTGGAACTAGAAGGAGGCACAAAACCACACTGCATGATCTTCTCCAAAACTGCGTGTACCCATGTGACTTGAGCATCTTGAAATACAGGCTTCTGTTGAAATAGTATCTCCCCTGTGGTGGGTTAGTGAACCCAACCTCTGGCATGTCAAATAATGACAAGAGGGGGACATTTTAGGTTTGAAACACTTCAGTTGTACATAACTCACTTGTGTGCACCTTCCTTCCCTTAGCTGCTGGACAGGGGCATATCCATTGCTTACAGTGGTTGATTGAAATGGGAGCTGACTGTGACATTACAAATGATGCTGGAGAGACTCCAAAGGATGTAGCCAAGAGGTAGCAGTACTTATCCTGTAGCTCTCTCATTTATTTACTTACTATTTATATATCAATATCATGTCAGCTTTGTTGGAATTAATCCTGATATTCAGTGATGGAGCAAGAACAGATCAGGCCCATGAATTCCAGCTCTGAGTCATAAGCAAAGCTGTATGGTAGCTATAAAAGGTTTTAATTTTCACTTAATTTAATTTAATTTTTTTTTTAGCAAAGTCAGACATAAAAAATGAAAACTAGCTGATCTGCAAAAGGAAAGTTGTGAGCCAGTATGCTCCAGCTGTACAAAGTAAATGAGAACTAGCGAAGACCAGCTGATTTTTGCATTAATTAAAATAATACAGTTACTGATGAGTTTCAATTAAGTAAACCTGCAAAGGAAAAGATACCTCTGATGTGGCAGGGATTGTCATAAGATTTCATTGAGGTAAGATTTCATGAGGCAGAGCTCATTCATTGAGGCAGAGCTCATGCCATCAGAATACTACAAAAAGCAGATTAGCTGCTCATAGTTTGTGTACCAGTGCCTCCTTTAATCCTGAAACCCGCTCCAATAAATGGGAACATAAAGAGTTTCAGAGTTTCTGTCACATGCAGGGAGCATGGCTGCATTTTTCCTGACGATTGGGATATTTCAGTGTAGGTTAACTGTTCTCTGTGCAGGTTTGCCCAACTGGCAGCTGTGGAACTTTTGACACAAAGAACTGGAGACAGTAACTCTAGTGATGAAGAACTAGATGCAGACAACATAAAGTTTTTTGAAAGACATGGTGTGGAAGGGAGTACAGATAGCAAAGAAGATTTAACCCTGGATAAAGCAGAGAAAAGGAACGCACGCAGTAAGCACTGTCTTTCCATCACTCCTTATTTGAAAAAGTTGGTCTCAAGACATTATAGTCCTAGTTGCACAGTTTCTGCCAACTGCCGTGACTTTTTTGTTGTAAGATGAGATAGTTGACAGGATATCTGCACCACTGAGTAGTCAAACAAATTGTGGAAAATTAGAAAGCATAGCAGAGGGCAATCAGAACATAATTGTTACGCTGTTTTAATCCGTGTTGGTGAAACCATATTGGATTGCTACTTGTTTTTGAGATCTGTCTGCTATGTGGGTGTCAGGTGTAGCTCAGTATTTGCTGAGCAGTGTGATTTCTGCTCTGTGTTTGTGAGACTATTTTCCAGACTATTGGATTCCAGCATGACTGTCTTCTCCATGCATTTTACCTACCTGGAGAGCTCTGTCTTACAGTAAGGGCCTATCGCAAGATTCAAGAACTTCAGCAACTTCTAGAAATTGCCTACAGCAACTACAGACAGCTGGGAGGAATAACTGAAGAGGAGAAGAAGATGAAAAAAGAAGAAAGGGAAGTTGAGAAGTAAGGTTAACTTGCCCTGCTAATGTTTAATTCCATGAGGCCCATTTTAAAGCCTTCTTTAACTTACACTCAAGTTGTTTTGGCCATTCTGTCCTTTCCACATACCAACTTTAGCCAGGCCAAAAAGAAACGGACTTCAGCAATTTGTCTGACCATTTCTAGACTTCTACTACCAGGATCAGCCCCACAGCGCAACACAAGTGTTTGATGGGTCCACACTTCTTGTGCAAGATTATCTGTTCGGCCTTCAGGTTTTCCTGCAGCATATGTGCAATAGGTCTGATAAGTCCTGGCTGTTTTGTTTGCATTGAGGATGCCAAATACATGTATGCACTTTAATAAATATGAAAAAAGGCATTAGTCTTAGCATGGCTTGGATGGAAGTGCATATACAGCAGAAATTATTCAATGACCTGCTACTTTTCTGTGTCAAGGGCAATATATTTCTATGCTCAAGAAAGCATTAGCTCATATCCAGACCACAGAAAAAAGAAATCTCAGCAAACCTGCCCTTGCACATGAAACACTTTTCATAATGTCTGTCTAATTCTCAGGATCTCCATTAAATGAAAGGGTTCTGTTAGATTGGTCAGGTGATTTGATGGGCAGACTGTCTAAGTTGCAAAGAAAAGCTCTTCTGTCTATCAAAGATTTAGAGCATAAACAATAATGCAGCATCCAAAAGACAGCCCTGTCTCCACCTCTACCTGTCAAAGATTTGGCTACCCACTGTTCTCGGTCTCTGTAGATAACCATGTCCATTATGAGTTTGGGCCACCCCAAACCACTGTCTTTATTGCGTCACTGGGAGGAGACTGTATCCGGAGGGCTTGTATGCCATCAAGAAGACAGCAGACTTACCAGTCTGTGTAGATCTGGAGCAAGTAATAGGTGTCACAGACTGGAATTAAGTAGTTCATTTCACAACCGTATATGAGCCAAGAAACTGAGGTCGGGATTTCTTTTGGTTCCAGGTCACCCTTTGACTCAGCCCAGCCTGGAAGTCCATCTTCCTTAACTTGATATGTCTGCAATGTCGATATCTGCATCCGAGTTAGTTACCTTGAGCTCCTTTTTAGACTTCTTGAAGAGATGTAGGCACTTTCAGGGCATAATTAGACATGTACTTCAGGACGAGATTCATCACTTCTAGGAGTGTCCCTCCTGGCTTTAAAGGAGGAGGGTGACCAGCTCAGATGTTGATGCCTACACTGGAAGGTCAGAGCAATCTGTTTGTAATGATGAAAAAGTCGCTGTTGACTAATGGCAGAAATTAAGAGTCAATTTTGGATAGAGCAGCTACTCAAAAGCTAGCAGTGTCTATTAGATGGCTCTGATATGGCTTTTTAAGGGATTTTGCTTTCTGTGGCATGTGTGGCTAAACTAGAAATATTGTGAGGATCTCTGAAGGGTCTCTCTCATCTGTGGAGGCCAGAGAGCATCCCTAGCTCCACACTGGCCTTTTGAAATGGAAATAATGCTTCTCAGCATACCTACCTACCCTTCTCAGGGTACCTACCTGTGTATAAACTCCAAGATGCTTGTACCATATGGCAGAAAACCTCATTATTTTAAAATATTTAATGACAACACCATTTTGCTAGATGAAAAGCAGGAGTTGCCACTTGGGAAGGCTACTGTAGCAGATTTTGAAGTTTCCTGCTTTAGGTCATGTTTTCTGTGCAATGCTTTGACAAGGCTGCATTGCACAGAAAAAATTGCCACCATGTGTGTGCCACACAGTTTTAGAGCTGCGTGTCATTAATCTGAAGAAGTCAGCCTGGCCCCTCCGAGCGCTGATTTCCCAGCATAAGCACAGGCCATTCTTACAGTGTCAGTAAGGCTGATACAGCCTGGTAGCTTTGGGCTGCGTGAGTCAGGAATACTTCAGTCTGGAAAATGCGGTAGCTCTTGCTGAGAGCTTTCCTGCCATGCTGTTTGAATCCACAGGGCAGATGTCTCCCTTTTCCTTTTACCAATCTTCCATCTTTGTAGCTGTGCCAATTCATCCTGATACAGAGGAGAGCCAGCTCAACTCCAAATGACTCAGTTGCTGAGGTCAATTGCTGTTATAGTAAGAATACATGTATATGAATTATGTTTCAGCTAACCAGTTCCAGGAATCTCAATTAATTTAGGAGCCATTGTGGGTGTGACTGATGATATCTTGTGCAACTGTGTATCAGCCAGTGCTTCAGTTTCCCTTTAGTAGGTGTCATTCAGGCTGTCATTTGAGTATTCCTCATCTGTGGCTAAGCCAATAAGTAGGAAGGATGTAGAGGCACCAGATGTAAACGAAAAAACTGCCCTTGACCCCTCCAGAATCCCAGTTTTATGCTTTTTCTCTGTTTCATACTAACCTTTTTGCTCCTTGGGCACATCTCCCTCTTCCGCAGCTGGAGATGGACCTGGGTTACAGCCTACCCAAGACCCTAGTGTCTGGCTCAGTGTGTGGGAAGACGTCTCCATCTCGTGGTCAGATTGCGCTGAGCACAGCTGACAGCAAAGAAAGAAAAAAACAGCTGTTTAGAGCTGTTGCAAAGAGTCTTGAGCCAGGAGCACGCTGTAGCTCACACCAGCACAGTTGGTGTGAGGAGTACTGTGCTGCTTTCTGCTGTGACTAACCTGTTCCTTAACAAAGGCACAGGACCACGTGGAGTAGCCAGGGCAGGTTTGGATGCACTTCATGCTCTGCTTGTCTCCTTTGCTTTTGGCAGGGCTGTGAGGGAGCTGGAGGCCCAGCTGGAATACGAGCGAGTCAGGCGGGAGAAGCTGGAGAGCCAGCTGGATGACTACCGTGCTGAGATAAGCCACCTTAGAGAGAGCCTGGAGAAAACCCGTGTCCTCCCTGCTCTCCCCCCAGTGAGTGCTGCATGAACTCCCCCAGAGCGTGGGACATACTGCCCGTTGCTTGTGCATGTTTGTTCTCACTGAGATTCCCGGGCATGGTGCTAGGAAATGCTGGAGTAAATATGCTAGCAGCTTTTAGCTTGGGCCACTGAAGTAAGCAGTAGCCTTTGTCGCGTCCTGACAGTGTCTCTGCTGTGAAAGGATATCAGTTTCTCCTTGTACCCTGGCAGAGAAGCACCGACATTCTTCATCTTCATATTAACAAAAGGGAGTGGACTGGTCCCTGAGTACTTCCACGCTGCATGTGCAGTGACTGACAGTTCATCCTGGCTGGCAGCTGGTACCTGAGACTGCTTCAGGAGAGGTGTTGTCACCACCTAAAGGGTTACCTGGCCTGCGGGTGTGTGGAGATCGCAACCATGGGTTTTAATACACAAGGACACGGGCTTTTATCCTCTAAATTTCTCTACTTTATTACAGATTACCACAAATACCACAAAAATCACCACTAGCAAGTATACCTATGATTATCCTCTAAATTTCTCTACTTTATTACAGATTACCACAAATACCACAAAAATCACCACCAGCAAGTATACTACCACAAAATCACCACTAGCAAGTATACTTGTGATTAACAAAGTGAATATAAATATATATATATATCAAGCAATTACAAAATACTAGTAGCAATCAATAACATAGTATCAATCAACAGTATGGTAGCAATCAATAGTAAAGCAACAATCAAAAGTATAGCAATAACCAAGTAGGTATATACTATTACAAGTTATTACAAACTTAGCATTAGTGAAGCAAACTTATTAACAATATAACAGCTGATGTACTTGATTACCTATAAGGATATATAATATCGGTATGAAGTGAATTAGACAGATTTCAGAAGGGGCCAAACCATCCCAGAGGGAGGACAAACTGATCCCAGAGGGGGACCCAACCATCCCCAAAAGAAGGGAGCACAAACTGAACCCCAAAAGTGGGCCCAGAGAGCGACCAAGAAAATAACAGTCTCACTTCAAAGATGATGCGAGAGATGTCACAGAGTCTGGAGTCAGCCAGGCATCCCTGGTGAGAGTCCAAGATCTCTTAGAAAGTTCATGCGGAGAATTCAGCCTGTTTAGGAAAGGAAAAGTATGTGCAGCACGGGAAGTTCTCAGAGAGAGGGGCTCAATTTTGGATTAAAAATTAAGCCCTTTTTATATCATAGAGACATAAGAGTGGAGGACACCACCACTGCAAGCAGCCAATAGATGCTGATGTTTCTAATTTTCTACTTTTCACCTGTAACAGCCAATAGATGATGAGGTTTCTATTCTTTCAGACCATTTTTTATTTTTCCAGACTATTTTCCACCTTTTCAGACAATACCAGCCAATAATGATGAGGTTTCTATTCTTTCAGACCATTTTTTATTTTTCCAGACTATTTTCCACCTTTTCAGACAATAAGTTGCCTTTACAGTCCCTTGTTTTTGCGCTTATCGGTGGTATCCCAGGATGCCTCTGGTTCTTAGGTACCACAGCTGTACTTCAAAGAGGCCAGCTGCACTTTCCAAGGATGTTTCTGGTTCCCAGCCTCACAGTTCCCAGGCTGGCAGACATATTCTCTGTCAGTATTTTTTAGCAGGCAGTTTCTTCTGTTCAGTAATTTTTCCCCTTCTAACCAGGCTGCCTTTCTGGCTGCTCACATCAGGTATCAACCTGACGTGTCAGCCCCTCACCCCCAGCTGGCGTGGTTTGCAGCAATTGCAGCACTTGTAGGATATTTCTTTTGCTTCACAACTGGTTTGCTTTCCTCCCTTTTATACCAGACTGGGAAGTGAGTTGGTGGAGTAGTGTAGTACACTACTGTATTGCTGTGTGCAGTGGCTGATTTCAGTAAGTGTTGTCGTGTGTCATCTGCTATCATCTTAATTATCAAGCCCGCTGACAGCAAAGAAGAGGCAGATATGAACTATCAATTGGCTTAGCAGGCAAAGACAGAAAAACTGTAGCTTTTTTTAAAAATCAGATCTTGAGGATAGATCAGAAGTTCACATGCTAACTTTGGGGACAAGAGAGCTGGCATTTCAGACCTTTCCCTGCTACGTAACTCCCACAAACTGATGTGACGGTCAAGACCCTGTTTTTGAGATCTTTGCCATCCAGTCAATCAGCAGCCTTGGGTGAGGCATCTAAATTCCTCCTGCTACGGGTTGTGGGAACTGGCGTGCAGTAACATGGCTGGTTCTACCAAGGGTGCAGCCAGTGGAAAAGGCTCATGGCCCTGCCAGCCTGGGCTGTTCATTGCTGTTCTTGGTGCTTCGCTTAACTTCCTCGACCATTGCACTGCCTTGACTGTGTAACTGTTTATAGGGCTCTGCTATAACCAGGCGAGGACTCTAGTCACTGTCAACGTGGTGACTTGGATTTAGCTCCTTTCTCTGCCTAGAGGAGCCCAGAAGACCCATCCCAGGGGGATGCTCTAACCAGCACGATGGCTGCTCTTCTGAGATGGAGCTATATTCATTCCCCTGCTTGCACCTGTGCAGCGTGACCACTGTAATTCAATATTCATTGGTCCAGAGGGAGGGAGGGAAAGACCTTTATAAGCGGATTATTAGGACAGTCATGCAGGAGGGGGGAGCTGGCCTGTGCTTCACATGAAATATTTACATATTTCTTGGAGGCCTAATTGGGTTGCTGGATAAAAGGGGTAACGTTACCGCCTTCTTCAGCCAGGTTTGAATGAGGCCCGGGTGCTTGGTGTCCCTACTAGATAATGGTCCTTTTCTGAGTGTAGTGGGGAAGAATGCTTGACGGATGCTCTGAGCAGGACACAAGCATTTAGAGCTCAATTTTGTTACCATTTCAGCTGTGCGTGGATTTGGCCATTGAAACGCCTAGGGCATTTCAGGCCCCTTGAGAGCAGAGGTGATGCCACCCCTAGGCACCTGGGAGCAGGAGCCATGGACTGCGCTGTGCTGCACATCCGCGGAGAAGGACAGAGGAATTCCCGTCCTAAGGATTTTAGTCTTTCTGTTGCCATCGTCTGATCCCAGGCTAACGTGGCATGGCTGCGTGTGCAGCGTGGCCAGATGGCATTCAATTGTGGCAACTCAAAGCAGCGAGGCCTTCGGGTTGCTATGGTGCCTGCGTCACACACGCGTGCAGGGTGCTGGCTTCACAGTTCACGTTCGAACGTGCCCGTGTGTGCCTGAGCAACGCCACGTAGTCTGGCACAACCACATTGCACAGTTCTTTCCATCTCCCTCTATCCCCCTTCCCCGCTTTCTTCTTCCTGCCCTCCATTGCAGGATTGTTTCTGAACCTTTCCTGCGCCTTTTTTCCCTTTCCTTTAGCCTGTGCCAGCTTTCCCTGCCACCATATACATGCTGTGATGCTCCTACAGCTGTTTGATTCCCACTGCATCCTTGGCACCTATCTTTTCCATGCTGCTGAGACCCGCAGGCCAGCCAGGTGCCTCCACCTTTGAAAGAAAAGCCACTTTCTGCTTCCACAGCTCACTTTAAGACATTACCCATTCTACTCTCCTGGCAGGTTTAAAAATGTAGGACAACTATGGCATAGAGTGCCCCATTTCTAGGGTGGAAGAGTGGCTGTAGTCAGTTTTTTTATCAGCAGCAGTCTGAAAAAGTCCAGTTGGGCATTAGGTTAACTAGCTGGGACTGGAGACAACTTCTGGTAAGGCAGGTTTGTTTTCAAAAACTTCTGCTCTGAGTGACTGCTACAACCAAGGGGCCTTCAAATCTCACCCCGCTGTGACTGTCATCCCATGCCCTGGGACTACGCTCTGCCCTCAGCTTCAGTTTGAACACAGTATTCTGTGGTTACTCAAAGCCGTATATTTTTAAATCCTGTCTTATGAGGTAGCAGGTTTAAGTGATTGCTATTTAATGGCTGCAATGTCCTTTGTTTCAGGAAGCTGAGACCATCTCCAAGTCTTGCAAAGAGAAGAAGAAAGTGAAGAAGAAACCAGCCTGCAGCCCTGGAGGAGTGTTTGTGAGACTGCGCTGAGGAATGAACCTCCGATGAGGGGCAGGCAGACCGAGCAGGTAGAATGGCAGTATTCTAGACAATGCAAAGTGTTTGCATAGCCCAGCTCCACAGACAAGTTGTGGTTCTCTGCATTTCACTGAAGTATTTTTTTAGCGCTCTAGTTCTCTGGGATAGAAAGTATTTTTAAATCACAGCAGCAGTGTTTTTTATTTGAAAAAAAAAAAAGGCAGGAAGACTTCTCTTCCTGTCCAGGTAGTAGTTTAGCAACAGCTTTGCAAATTATTAGGTGACATTTCAAGAGTTGACTGCAGCAATGTCATAGGCCCTCCTACATCTGAGAAAAGTATCTCCATCTACTAGTCTATTTTGTACTACTGCCTTGGGGGGGGGGGAGGGGGGGAACCACCTACCCTCCCAACCTAATCAGACAGGACCTTCAGTGTGGAATACAGTGTCTGGGAGAAGTACTCCTCAGCTGCAGACAGGTGCCCGGCCCCTTGATTTTCATCTTCAAGTCATTCCTAAATAAGCCAGGAAGCTACTCCTTCATGAGGTGCCAGATGAACTGCAGCGGTGGGTCTCCGAGTCTAACTCGGGGCTGAAGAGTTCACTAGGTTATGGGGCACGTTGTGGTTAGAGATGGCAATCCTGACCTCTCCTCCATGCCTAAAAAACATTTTGTGACTTCACATATAAAGATTTTTCTCTCATCTGTGTGCTGTTGTGAAATTCTTTTCCCTTTGGAACCCTCATTGTGCATATTTTCAGAGTTTTGATTTCAGTAAGAAATCCTTGCACTGTAAGGTTAATTTGCTAGTGCTTGAATCCTGATCTGCCCTCTCCTTAGTTACCAAAGGAAACTTAATTGCTGAGAAATTCAAAGGTGCTGAAAAAAAATCAATTTGTTTTCGTGTGCACAGACTGAGGGAGAGGCACGCTGAGTAATGGCATAAGCCTCGTATCAGAGCTAAAGAGGAGAAATCCAGTCTCTAGAGCCCACTTCAGTGTGTAGGGGATGATGGTGGTGAGAAGCTGCAGTAGATGAGCTATTTCCTACATCACCACTGGTGCTAAATTCTCATGTAGGAACAGTGCAAAAGATCAACCTGAGTCGTTCCGTGTCCAAAGGGCAACGAAGCTGGTGAAGGGTCTAGAGCACAAGTCCTCTGAGGAGCGGCTGAGGGAACTGGGGTTGTTCAGCCTGGAGAAAAGGAGGCTGAGGGGAGACCTCATCGTGGGTGTAACTACCTCAATTACCTGAAAGGAGGTTGTAGCGAGGTAACTACCTCAACTACCTGAAAGGAGGGTGTAGCGAGGTGGGTGTCAGTCTCTTCTCCCAAGTAACAAGCGATAGGACAAGAGGAAATGGCCTCAAGTTGCGCCAGGGGAGGTTTAGATCAGATATTAGGAAATATTAGGATATTTCGGTGTCTTCACTGAAAGGGTTGTCAAGCACTGGACCAGGCTGCCCAGGGAAGTGGTGGAGTCACCATCCCTGGAGGTATTTAAAAGACATGTAGATGTGGCACTTAGGGACATGGTTTAGTGGTGGACTTGGCAGTGCTAGGTTAACGGTTGGACTTGATGATCTTAAGGGTCTTTTCTAACCTAAATGACTCTATGATTCAGAGAACCTCAGAAATTGTAGCTTACATGAAGATGGATTTGTACACGTAACAGTTACAACAGACAAGTGGCCGAGATCCTTGCTGCCAGCACCCATGCCTATTTGACAACACATAGACAACAGAAAAAGCAGCCTCAACTCCCAATATAATAGCACTGTGCCTGCTGTATAATAGCACTGTGCCTGTTTACAGTCTGGCAATCTATACTCAAGTCTCTCATAGTCAGATAGCAAATATAAGAAATTAATTTTATTTTCTTAAATGAAGATGATAAATAATTTAATGCACAGAATATAAGAATTGGCAGGATACCAGCAAGTTCAACTGTAAACAGAATAAAACTGCAATAGAAAAAATTGCTGCTATGAGTACTAAATACTCTTTAGCCCATAAGGGACCTGCTCTTACTTAAAAGTTTAATCCAGGAAGATTTTTTTTAATTACTATATTATTAAAAGAATCAAACCAAGCATATGCATTTATACTCAACAAGGTGTAACTGCTTCAGTTTTGGAAGGCATCCACCTGCTATGTCCCATCTCTACAACAAGAGTTGTGAAGTCCTTGCAGAAGGTAGAGGGGTCATCACCAGAAGTTAGGGGAGTCAGTGTGTCCCACGGGATTACAGAACAGTCCAGAGGAGTGTGGAGACGGGAGGATGGCCACCGTCACACTGGCACCACTGAGATGCTGAGTATTTCCATGTTACCAGCCAGATCCTATGCCCGAAAATATGTGAGGGTTTATTGGAAATACTCTGCACTACTTGGAGGAGTTAAGAGCCCTTATCTGCCCCAGGGCTGTACACAGTTGCTGAGAGTGGAGGCATTTCCCCTTGGAAAGACAAAGGGAGAAGTTCTCCCACCCTGTTGTCCTCTGGGGTTATGGAAATTGCAAAAGATACTAAAAAAAAAAAAACCAACTATGGCGGCATTTTAGTTCTACATGAGATTTTAAATTTATGTAAACCAGTTTTCAAGAAAAACAAGAATTCTTTAGTAAAGGCCTTGGAGTGTGTGTTTGTATATAAATAAAAAACCCAAAGTGCCAGGCTTCAATCCATCAGAAAAGAGAGGAACAGACTGAAGGCAAAAATCCAGATCCTATATTTAAGATTAATTTACTTGGATCAGAGTAGATCTGTTGGAATCTGTCATTAGTATTCCCATATTGGGAATACTAACTTGGGAATAGTATTCCCATTTCAAGGGCATATCAAAGTTTAATATTTCCATTTCGAGAGGAGCTGAGAGTGAGAACGTTCCTTGGAGAATATTCCAAAAGAAAACAAAATTAATTCTAAAACACACTAGGAAACACTTTCTGATTTAGCATAAAAGTCCTTTGAAATAAATACAGTATTCAATAGGGGACAATGAAATATTACTATTTGCCTGCTTCCCCCCCAGTTATTTTGATCTTTAGTGTTACATATTCAGAAAACACTTTTAGTGCACGGTAAGAATACCAAAACAAAAAGATACCAAGGTTATCTACAGCGCAAACATGATCGTCTAACTGATGTTGCCTGGGTGGCCTTTTCTCCATCTGTATTTGATGCAGCCATTCCACTTGGATCTATTTCCAGAACCTGTAAAATCCCAGTGCTATTGCTAAGCAAGTGAATACTGAAGCTGTTAAAAAAAAAAAAAAGAAAGGAAATAATTAGCTGAATGCTAAATTGTATCACCTTCTACATTCCGGAAACTAACTGCGAACAGATGGAAGAATGATAACAACTGTAGAGCAGAGCCTCCTAAACTTCCTGAATTGCTGCAGGTGTGACACAGTAATTTTAGAAGACAATGACTTGTCTCAGATGTAATATCCTGCACAGTAGCACTGCCCAGGTGGCGAGATGGGCGGTCGAATTCAGCAGCCGGAGGAACTGTGTTTTCAGGGACACACCTGAATAACTACAACAGGCTACAGTAACTTTTACTATCCTCACCCATCTATTGGAAACTATTACAGGAGAGAAGGCTGCATCAGGTCTTGCGTTAGACGTAATTAGAATGATTTCCCACTGAACAAAATGACAATGAACTAACAATACACGTATCTGAGACAACATTAGGGTATCTAGGCAGCACCTCTGAAGCCTGATGAGTTGTCTTTCAGATTGGTTAAGCTGCTGTTTCAATTTGTGTTAGAATAAAGCTCATTATGTTTCCCTTTGAACTTGTTCTCGCTTCCAAATGTAATGCGTTACTCTCTTTTTATCCAGCTCCAATACAATAAAAATTTCACTGCTCGTGTATATATTGAGAAGACAATCTCAAATCAGACTGAAATTTGTTCTGCTTGGCAGGGGAAGGTACCGGTACCGCCACACTGAAACGATGCGTCTGTGGAGGACTGAACGGGGGGCAGAACTGGTCACTCTCAGACTAGTCCTGAGTATCAGCAAGCTTTCAGGGGAACTTAAATAAGCACAGGAGAACTGTTGGAGCAACTCGGCCACATAAATGGCTGCCCTGCACCAAGCAGAGGTACCGTCAGACTAGGCAAGGTATTTAGGCTTCTCTCCTACTCCTCCTAATCCCTGTTCTGAGCGCAATCCTTGTCCCGCTGCAGCATTGTCTGCATGTTCCCACCTCTTCCGGGTTCTCTGTCACATTTCTTTCAACTGGGGAGGGTCCCATCCCCCCAGTCCCGGTTATCTGCTGTTACACAACTGACTTCTTGAATTCACTTCGCATATATTCTTGAATAACATTTTATACATCCAAAATACAATACTGGTACTCACCTCCTTGCCTACCACATACCTGCCAAATAACGTATCGTATCGAGTTTATTTGATTCCATGAGCGTTTTTAAGGAAGCTATTTCAGTGTCAATTTTATTACTGATTTCTGAGATAACACTGTTGGTACTTGAATCCTGGAACATTAAAAGATAGCACCTATTTGACAATGATCTCTAGCCCTTTCAGCTTTGCAAAGCCAAACAAGAATACCAGGCTACCAACAAGAAAGAGAAACAAATTTTCAGCCTATCACTGAAGTAAAATACGGAACTGGTAAGAGACCTTAGAAGACACAGAACAGCATTTAATACAATCCAGGAAGAATATTAAAGAGGGAGACAGAAAAAGAGAAAAAACAGATCATACAGATTTTTGTCCCTGATATGCCAGTGCTTCCTAAAGGAGGCATTCCCCAGCACACAGGTAATATCCCTAAATTTTTGCAAAACAAAGGCTTAAGCATTCACAAGCCATATCCAGAAAAGGGAGGAGACGCTGAAGACGGGACACGTCCATCTTTAGCCTCTCAGTCTTCAGCGCCCGCTAGCAGCTTTGAGGACTTCCAGCCCTTGAAATACTTGCTTGGCTGTAGGTGCCTGACCCCTCCCTCTGGTACAGCTGCTCAGCTGAGCTGTTAATGTTGGGAAGGGCAGCACGGCAGTGCACACCCCACCTACAACAGCCTGCACGTAAGATACTCGGGGAGCGAGAGACAAGGCTCGTATGCCTCCTTCTGCCCGAACGGTGCTTGCTGCAAATCCCACAGACCTGGGCAATAAACACGTGCAACAGACGCGAGTGACAGAGCCCAGCCTTCTGCTTTACCACATTCAAAAATCTATTAACTTTCACGGAAGTTTGGGGTTTACGCAACATGCAACACATAACTATATCCTGCTCGATATAAAGTGAGCTTTGTTCAGTACTTACTTTTTTATGAAACTCTGTAGTTGCTTCCATCAGTTTCCTCTCCTGATCTGTAAACTGTGGATAAAAGATAAATTACAATTGTCGTAAGGGAAAACCAGAGACAGCACTGATGAGGGTATCTTCATAGGTCAGCTTACCATATCTGTCACTCTGCTCCTTTCCAGGTTTATGTCTAGCTTGCTGTCAGCTCGGATTTTACCGGTTTCATTCTTCAAAGCAAATAAAGATTATGAAAATAACTGTTTACTTTCCCTAATAGGAGTGTGTAGGTACTTGCTGTTTACTTACCATTAGCTGCTGTTTAACTTGATCTAATTCAATTTTCATTTTCTAAGTGCAGAGGAGAAAAAAAAAATGATTTTACAAATTCAGAAAACTGCTGACCAAGTTAATCAGTCACGTGTTACCACCGCATGCAAGCAATCTTTCTTCCATAATTTTTCTCCCAATGGGGCAATTTGTTCTTGATTAAATATCCTAACTGGTGTGTTCAATTTGTATAGCCTTATATGATCGGCTGGGAATTCTGCTCAAAATAAAGGGATTATTTTGTAACGATGATGATCTTGTTATTCTGAGACTAAAGACAGCAGAAAAATACCAAAATGCTGCCAAGCAAAAGCAAAATGTGTCTCAATCACCAGTTTAATCAAATTGCTGCAAAGAAACGGCTGACTACTCTCCCTGCATCGTACGGTTAATGGTGACAAGACTCTACCAGAACCACCCTTAAATAAAAATACAGAAGACGAATCTAAGATGTGTAGATTATTTTTTTTTCTTTGCAGAACTGGGCAAGTCTTATCACGTGAAATACATTTTTCTGTGATCACAGAAGTTGTGATCTACAAACACTTCAACTCTGATAAAGTATCCATAATTACTTTTACATTCATATTTTGTTCCACAAAAATGTACAACAGGTATAACGCAACGTCTTACAATTTAACTGCTTAATTAAAACTGTTAGTACCTCATTCTCCGCTCTCAAGTTTGCAAATTCACTTTTCTCCAAGATGACCATATCTTTTCGAATGGAGTCCAAATGTGCCATTATCTGCTGTAAAGTTATTTCCTTAGAAACAATAAAACGTCATTGATTAAGTTGCACACTTTCTGGCAGGTAAAGGAAAGTAAAGATTTTTAGATCTGAAATTACGAAATTAGCTACTGCAAAGCACAAAAATGGGGAGACTCTCCAACAAGAAAGTGACCGAAACACAGAATTTGATAGCTGCAATTTCTTTGGAAGACTCAAGAGGTTTTGGGTTTGTGCTTTTTCTGTTGCTTTAATACACCAGCTCTGAATTTAAGCAAAAAAGCCAGAGGTATTAGTCCAAGTAGCTCTGAAATGAAACAGACCCGAAACTACAGGTTAGTCCGTTTTCGGTGAACGTTCAGTAGCCTACGAAGCATTCATTGTTGGTCTGAACCCGGTTCCTAAGCAAGCACTTCCATTTCTTGCCCACAAAATCATCAAAAGCCAAAGCCTCAATGATCTGGGTATCACACTGTCCTCTCAGCGTTAAGTGTGAGGCACACTAGTAAAACATTGCTGGAGAGCAATGAAAAACGGCCTTCCTGGTGTTTGGGCTATCAGGTTCAGAGTTCAACTGCCGTTTATAAACTACAGAGTTTAAAAAAAAAAAAAGAAAATAAAGGAAGAAACTTTGTATTTTAGAATCTTGAAAACGATAGTCCTTTAGTTAGCGTAAGGAAGTTACCCTACTATTTAGCATGGAAAATGACGTATCTCCGTGGGATTCTGCTTTTCAAGCCGAGCGTCAGCAAAACGAAGAGCTCTCATTCGGACTGCGAGCAAACAGTATTTCTCAGATCCTGTGCTGAACTAAATTCATTAAAATATGCCCTGACCCAACTTCCACTGAAGTCCGACTACTTTGTTGAACACAATGAAGTTTTTACAATTCCTGGGAAAACTTCAGTTGCGTTTACACCGAGGAGCTAATTTGCCTCATTCCATCTTAAAACATTCAGCCTCAACACTGACTACATTATAAAAACCAGTGTTTCTGCCTAATACAATTCCATGCAAATTATATTTGGGATACTGACTTTCTTTACGTATAATAGGATATCCAAAAAGAAAGATTTCCATTTTGGTGAAAAAAACAGAGAGACAAAAGTTCTTGTCTTCTTCTGAGATTTATAGAAGAAAGTTAGGTAACTTTTACTGAGAATAAATGCCAGCAAGATAAACATCCGTTGGAAGTAAGGCTGAGCAGTTTAAATAAAATAGCAATGAATGCGTAAATGCATTAACTCATTGAAGAAGAATGGCACGTAATTTCAGCTTGCACAGCCTTCCTGAGTAATTATTAAAACCATTACTGTGCATCAGAGCTTTATTATCCTGGCCCAGATGTCTAGCCTACAAGAAAAACTAAAGTTCTTTTTATTTTGGCAATTTGTTAAAACGAATCTTGTCACCACCTCCATTATCAACAGACAGACCAGCCACGCTACTTAACTGATTCACTGCCTCCAGATGTGTCCACAAACATGAACCTGAGTATCTACGCGAAGGAGACACCTCGATGCTTTGCTGCAGTGCAGGCTGAGGTGTTGACCAGTGCAAACAGGTGGGTTTATACCAACAACTGAGTAATTCAGAGCCCACTTCTGTCCCCGAGGGCACGCGACACACCACAGATTACGTCCAGATGGCTAAAATCTCCTCCTAAACCAGGATGGCTCTGTCCGTCCCGCCTGGCGGGAACAGTTCCTGGCCCTATACTTTCGTGTGAACTGTGCCCAGGTCAGGGAGACGGAGAGCTGGCACAGGTCAAAATCAAACCAAGGCACCGCAGTGGCTCTGGACAGCCGTGCGGCGGTGTTCGTGCCCATGCCCTAGCCGTGTTTAGCTTTTGCTACAGATGTAGCTTTAGAGAGTGAAATGCAGAGTAAAATCACAAAATAGTTTTAATAGTAGTTTTTAGTTTATGAATAGGAAAATAGGGCAAATACAGTGTATCTCAGAACAGAGTTCACATCTTTACTGAAGTTCAGTAAAAACACTGACAATTTTCTGATATTTTAGGTGGTCTTGTTATGTCCCAGGAACCCCTCCTGAATCTCTCTGCTGCCCTCAACTGTTGTAAAGCACAGTTAAAAGTCTGGTTTCACCACGGAGCTTTTCAGCAGCAAATGAAGGAATCTCTGCATTACATTTCTATATCGTGGCTGCGTTTGGAAAGCACTCCTGTGAGATGAAAGGTGTAAGAGATTACTACTCTTAATACCACCCTGAAACTTAGGAAAACCTATCTCAGTGAAGCATTTACAGTACTACAGAGAGTTGCTCACTTGTCTTTCAAATACGAGCCCTTACAGCTACACAATGCTGTATAGGTACACCTTAGCTCACGTTTTACCTGCTGAGCCTGCGTAACCATGTCCTTATAGACTGTGTCTAAGCTGACATTCGACAGGGTTATTAATGCCGATACGATGGTCTCCGCTTGCTCCTTCCCAAAGCCTAGAAGACAGTTGAAGGATGACAAGTTCAGGTCATATTAGAAAGCTGGGTGAAGAGAAGAGCAAGAGGTACATCATAAACTGGGACACTCAAGTGCTGTACCTAACTACAGTGGCAAATGGGAAGTCACAGTTACTGAAAACTGACAGCGAGGAGCCAGTCACTCTGACTTTTAACTAGAAAAAACACGGACTTAATGCTGCGAAAACCTGAAGCACGTTAACTTTCAATATACTGAAACAGCCTATGCATGCAGCTGACAGGAGGACCAAATTTCTGTACAATGTTTAACTGTTCATGCACTATAAAAATAATCCAGCAAAATTTTACTTTATAAGGAACTTTCACAAATTCTGTTAAAACCAAACTTACCTTGAGCTACAAAGCATGCATCCTATAGAATAATAAAATTAAAAAGTAAGTCTGCATATATTGAAATTGCTCTGCACAGATATGAACACATGCAAAACTGATTTTAAAACTGCTGCATCCATTGCATGCAGAATGAATTCAAATGGGGATTTTTGCTTTCTGATGATAAAAATTACACTTTTTCCATAGCTTGGTGCAATTTTGAAGCGTTAAAGATGATGTGTGGTGAATAGTGAAAAAAAACCCACAGCTGTCATTTTCGCCATATCCGATCTAGTGCCAAGAGCTTTGGCCCTAAGGATTTATTTCCAGCAGTCTCGCTGACGTGTTGTATTTCAATTGTCCTGTTTTATGAAGTTGGATCAATTAACTTTTTGTTGACAAATGCTTCCAGGGCAAATTATGTAGAGAAATATGCCACTGCTCCTTTCTAAAATACTGGTACTGTCAAGCTGCATCATTGGTTTACATTACTAAAAAAGCTGTGCATGCTTTATGACAGTTTGCTTCGACTAAGAGGTGTGACAGTATTGCTTCGGTTCCTCTGAATTTTCAGGGTTACTTAGGTTTTTGCCAATCCATTATTTTGTTCTTCCTCTATAGCAGGAACCGTCCTCGTTGCATGGAAGTTTAGAAAACATGGAGAAATTCATGTAAGTAAGAGAATGGAGCCTGAAAACTGCCTGCAGCAAGTCTGAGAAAAACTAAACGCCTCTCTCACTTCTGTGATAGGTATAGGTTTTACCTATAGAGCCCTGTCACTGTAGTACTGAAGCATTTGTAGAAGTTATGGAACAAATTAAACTGAGTAACACCACAGCGTACCAGCACCGGACAGACTTCAGCCCATGAGTTCTAAAGGAACTCGAAGAAGAAATAGCTGAATCAGTACTGGGGACAAGTAACATCTCACAGCCTACCTCGGTTACCCGAGGACTGGAAAATGGCAAACACAATGCCAGTTTTTAAGAACAGTTCCAGAAGAGATGTAGGGAACTACAGGCTGTCAAGTCTGACATGCATGAAAAAAATAAACATTGTTAGTGGACTATTAGGAGTCTTCTAACTACTAATACACATCATCATTAGACCCAAAGGGTGGAAAAAATCCTAACCTCCGATTGGATAGAGTTCCTACTGTCACTTAGGAGAAAGATCTTGGGATTTTAAAAGATAGTTGCGAGTCTGATGAAGGTATCAGTTCAATGCTTAGTAGGGATCAATAAAGCAAACCAAACCCTGAGGAATATCTAAGAAAAGAAGCAGAGAACAAAATAGATGCAACATTATGTCACTGTTCAAATCCACGGGACATTCAGTTGTCAAATAGTGCCAGCAGCTCTGTTCCCTCCCCTTTGAAACAGGATGCGATAGAAGTGGAAAAGATTCACAGAAGGGCATCATGAATGATCAAGAGTATGGAAAAGCTACTGCTCAAGGAAAAAATTCAACAAGCTAGGAGTCTTCTGTTTGGAAAAGAATGACGGGGGAATATGACAGAAGTTTACATAATCATGAGTGACAAGAGAGATCAAACATTCATTCCCTCTTCCCACAAAAGAGCTGAGCAGGCATCAAATTAACCTTGTAGAAGCCAGATTCTGCATAAACAAACGGAGTGTATGTCTGAAACTCCATGAGAAAGGATGTTTGGGGTACTAATCAGTTTATAGAGGTGCAGGGACTGAATAAGCTTATGAAAAGGTTTCCGCTGAAGGTTACCAAAACTCACACCTGACTCAAAATACCTCCAGGGTGAAAACAATTGGAGGCTTACAAAGTACAGAAGGATGCGTCACATACATCTGCCCCGTTTTAACACTCTTCTGCAGGCACTGGCTCACAGCTGCTGTCAGGAGACAGAACCCAGGGCTAGAAGGACCTCTCATCTGACCTCAAACAGCCACACTCACAACACGGCACTGTGCAGCTGCAAATATTTCTAGTTAGAAAAAAACCTTATTAGCAGGCTAGTAGAAAGAATTTCTATTAAAGCTTCATTTTTGCTAGAAAACAGTTCTTTAACCGTTATTGTTATTTACATTTATTAACTGTGTTATGTTCCTTGGCTGGAAGACACTATATAAACTTGCCTACAGCTACAAATAAGGTAAATCTAACGTAATAGTTATTTGTATGGTTACAGAGGCATCAAACAGATGCCTCTCCTTCACCAGCCTCCTCGAGAGGCTGCCAAAACATTTTATAACACCAAGTATTGGTACTTTGGGAAAACCGACAGCACTCAAAGTTATCGTACTTAAACTAAAAGTTTTCCTTTGAATTATTTATCAGATATCACTTACCGTGGGCTTCCAGATCCTGCACTAAAGCATGGGTATCAAAAGTTACCTTCCTCTGCTCCAGGGGAGTGATTTCAACTCTTCTGACATCATATGACTTCCTAATGAGTGTGGCAGCAAAACCTGGAAGTGACAACATGCACTTTAAACTTAACGCAATTGGTTTATCATGCAATACAGTAATTTTAATTTCTTTCGTCATAGCAAAGCTGCACAGAAGTTGCAACAAAAAGCTGGGTCCTTTTGATAGCTTGGTTACAGCACACGTCAGAAACCATCAATCCCTTTTCCATAGGAAACCTATACTAACTAGGACTCATATATCAATCTCAATTGCATCTGTATAACTAGGAAGCTGTGCAACAGACAAGCGTCCCGATACACCAAAGATAAAACCACCACAGCCAATTGTTTTATAAAATTTGAGAAACATCACTTAAATCATTTTCCTACTTTTAAAACATCAGCAGTTCCAACACACTGCTGATCTCTGCTGGTCACAGTTAACAGCCTTCATTTTGTTCTTCACAGAATCCCTCAGCCACGTTCTTTTTACACTTTCTTCTACGACTATCCATTCCAGCAAGGAGAGTCCCATGCGTAAAGATAAAGCTACAGATTTTCTTTAGAAAGTTATGCGAATCTAATGTTCAGAATTAATTTCTTGATTCACCAGTAAAGTAATTGGGAAACAAAGCAATACGATGTTTGTACTCAAGACCTCCGAGATAGGTATTAGTTGAAGAGCCACCCTATTTATTACATGAATGCCTTCCCACAAGGTGTTTCACTGCTTCTCCTACTTTATTTCAAGCATATTTTTCCCTTCATCTTATCTTTGTGGGGCCTTGCATGTTACAGATTCAGTTCTGATAGATTCTTTGTTATCTAAAAAGCCCTGTTACTTCTAAATCCAGGCTTACTTGAAACTTTCTCGCTGCTGGCTCTCTGCCTTAACCAAAATGTCGTTCTTTATCTTCTCTAGATCTTTACTCAAAAGCTTTATATCATTTAAACAACAGGGAAGTTGTATTGTGCCACTGCTGGATAAATCAAGTCATGTGCTACCTTGTATCTACTCCAAAGAAATAACTATAACTAAGCCAGCTGTAGTATCCAAACCAAAGTCTGTGTAAGATTTAAGATTAAAGAGGCAAAGGAAAGATTTGTGTTTAAGTGCATGAACACTGAATACTACGTACAAATATTTTAAAATAACTCTAATTTACTGTAGAATAAAACATTCTTTTTTCACTGAGCTATAACAGCTTTTAACCACACAGCTCTTTGTCCTCTAAATGCATTAGTGGATTTTTTTTCATTGGATTGAACATATATATTGTAGAGACATTCACTCAGAAAAGCTGATATTACAGCAGGAAGCTTTTGGTTGCCTAGACATGCTGCTCTTTTTCCTCCCGCTTCACTCCTGTATTGACTCAATCATAGAATTGTAGAATCATTTAGGTTGGAAAAGACCCTTAAGATCATCAAGTCCAACTGTTAACCTAGCACTGCCAAGTCCAACGCTAAACCATGACCCTGAGCACCACATCTACACGTCTTTTAAATACCTCCAGGGATGGGGACTCAACCACTTCCCTGAGCCATTTCTTCTTGTCCTATTGCTTGTTACTTGGGAGAAGAGACCGACACCCACCTCGCTACAACCTCCTTTCAGGGAGTTGTAGAGAGTGATGAGGTCTCCCCTCAGCCTCCTCTTCTCCAGGCTAAACAACCCCAGTTCCCTCAGCCGCTCCTCAGAGGACTTGTGCTCTAGACCCTTCACCAGCTTTGACACACGGCTCTCAGCCCAAAGCTGCCCTCAAAACTCACTTATGTTTTCAGAGAACGTACCTGAAACACCGTTTTGTGATGACTTTCTGCACCCCTTGGCTATCTCCCGCTGCTCCTCCCGTCTCAAACATTCTCTGTCAGTCCCCACGATCTACTGAATCCACTGCTCTTGCCCGCCTAGCACACCCCTTGCCTCGGACTTGTTACAGCCCCGAAGGAAGGCGTTTTGTGCTCCCTCACACCCCGCCCCAGGGACAGGCCCCCACGATCGCGCTCAGGCAACCAGCCCCGCCCGCCAAACGCCCTGCGCAGCCTCCAACGCGACTCAACAGACCCCGAGGCCCAGGTTACTCCCCACCACGGCAGGCAGCCTTGTGCCCCCTCCTGCCGCTTTCGCTCCTCGCCCCCCGGAGGGGCTGGGAGCCGCCTGCCTGCCCGGCG